TCTTGTCGTCTGATTTGCCAACTAATGAACAATGCTTTCTTCGTGTTTGGAAGTTTTTGTCTTTACATCGGATGTTTGCTGAGTCAGACTTGGAGTTGTCTTTTCTGCCTGCATTAGCCACCTTAAGCGTGGTGTAGAGAAGAACGGTGGTGAGTTGAGAGGTTTGGCGGCTAAAGAAGTCACCACCAGATGTGTGCAGCTCGGGGTGTCTTTTTGTTGCCACAAACAGAACAGTCTTCATCTACAAACAGAACAGTCTTCATCTACAAACAGAACAGTCTCTCATCTACAAACAGAACAGTCTTCATCTACAAACAGAACAGTCTTCATCTACAGACAGAACAGTCTTCATCTACAGACAGAACAGTCTTCATCTACAAACAGGACAGTCTTCTTCTACAAACAGGACAGTCTTCATCTACAAACAGAACAGTCTTCATCTACAAACACAACAGTCTTCATCTACAAACAAAACAGTCTTCATCTACAAACAGAACAGTCTTTGGCACTCCTAGCAGATTTGGCCGGCCAAATAAACTGCGTCGGCCGGCTTAGTGGGAGTTACGTCCCTTCGCCAAACTCAAAACAACTCAAAACAAGTCGCGGAAAAAGTCACGAATCAAATGACATACTTACCTATCATCATCCGGGTGCGTGTAGGGTTGCGTAGGGTGTCTATCATCGTCCTACGGTTGCGTGTGGGGCTGCTTATTGCGTGTAGGTTGGTTGTTTGCGTAAAATGAGGGGTGGGGTTAGCGGTTAGGGTTAGGGCTTAGGGTTAGGGTTAGGGCTTAGGGTTAGGGTTAAGGGTATAAGGTTAGGGGTTAGGGTTTAGGGTTTAGGTTTAGGGTTAGGGTTAGGGTTAGGGGTTAGGGTTATGGTTCGATGCGAAAATTTTCACGTAGGAACTCGAAATAGTGGCCGACATTCTGATGCTTGTGGGAGTGGCGCCACTGAAACTCTGCCAAATATGACGCCATTAGCGGGCGGCTGGTGCCCAATCGGTGGCGAATTGTCCGTGTCAGTAGCATCCACCGTCCGTCAACTGTTTGCGCGTGCATGCGACTGTGCGCGATTATAGGGAACTACGGCGTCACAATTGTCACATCTAACGCTACACCTAACCCTACCCCTAACCCCTAACCCTAACCCTAAACCTAAACCCTAACCCTAAACCCTAACCCTAAACCCTAACCACTAAACCCTAAACCCTAACCCTAACCCTAAACCCTAACCCTAAACCCTAACCCTAAACCCTAACCCCTAACCCTACCCTCATCTTACGCAAACAACCAACCTACACGCAATAAGCAGCCCTACACGCAACCGTATGACGATGATAGACACCCTACGCAACATGCCATTTGATTCGTGACTTTATCCGCTCGATGTTTTGAGTGCGGCCACGGGGACATAACTCCCACTAAGTCCCGCTGAGCCGGCCGAAGCAGTCGAAGCAGTGCAGCTTACCGGCTAAATCTGCTAGGAGAGCCCAGTCTTTATCTACAAACAGAACAGTCTTCATCTACAAACAGAACAGTCTTCATCTACAAACAGAACAGTCTTCATCTACAAACAGAACAGTCTTCATCTACAAACAGAACAGTCTTCATCTACAAACAGAACAGTCTTCATCTACAAACAGAACAGTCTTCATCTCTTCCGAGGGTTTAAACTATCTCATGTATGAGAACCCAGAGTTCGAATAGCTCCGATAGCGGCTGCTGACCTCATAGTTGTAATCCCACTAAATAGGTTAGTTGCGTATCCTTTACATGACGTTGCAAAACAAACCACAGCAGCCCTTGGCTGTTGTGTGGTTTCTCTAGGCAAATCTACGTCCAGTAGTTTGCCATTGCTTTTTGCCACGGGTCGGCCCATCCCACTAAATACACATGTAATTAAGAAGACAATTCTCAAACGAGACTATGCTGGCGCAACTGCAGCTTTTGATCTAAAAAAAAATAATCTTTATCTCGTAATGACAGCGTTCGTACGTGACCGAGGAGACGGGAAATAGATGCGGTTTGAATTTCTACATTCAAACGCATGGACGGAGAGAAGAAAAGTATACCACAGTCAATCGGGACATCAAGTCAGGATAACAGAAAATAAGGGCCGAAAACTACTTCAAGATAAGAGGAACACACCAAACATACGTCCGAGCAACAGTGATGTATTCTCACGTCAGGCAACACAACATTCAGACCTACTGTGTTTTATGAGCAGGGCGTATGTATTACATATATGTGTGTGTATGTGGTCATGTGTGTCTGTATGTGCGTGAGCATGATCTGAGTGTGCGTGTGTGTGTTAAGTGCGTGTGTGGTTCTGTGTGGGTGTGTGTCTGGTTGTTGTGTGTGTGTGAGTATGAACTGAGTGTGTGTGAAAGTGTTCGTGTGTGTGTGTATATAATAGGCTCACCTTCAAATTTGGTCCCTAAATAATGGCGGCCAAACAAATACCCTATCAGGGCCTCAGTCGTGTGTAAAACGCGAATTTCCTCCGACAAACAAATCGCGGCAAAACTAGGATTACTGTCCGTTGGCAATTTCGAGAAACGCAACAATACACACGATAATATCGACATGGAGAGACCACGCGCTCCGACGCAGGTTAGCGATAGTGTTCTTCCGATTAAACTGACCGCCGAGCGTATCCCCCACCCCCCCCCTGCTACACGAAGCGCGAATGAGGAGATAACTAGATCGTTGGGACTTACGAGCAGCTGCTACCGCATCTCCTGCAACTTTCTCCAGTTTAATTAGTCCCTCCATCTAGTTTATCACCCCATCCGCGCCGCGCGTAGTGGCGCGGTGGATACGCTCGGCGGTGCGGCATAGTGGCTGAAACAGGTCCGCAATGAACATATCGCTGAGACCTTGGTTAGGGTATTTGTCCTCGATAATATTGGTCCGTTATTTGGAGGAAATCATTGTTTTGCTGCGATTGGCTCCTCGGCAGGCACTCCGCATTTTCACATTGGCACCGCTTTTCTGTTTTTGTTTAGGAGGAAAATGAGTGACATCGCTTTTCTGTTTTTGTTCAGGAGAATGAGTTGCACTGTTTTATGTGATTTGTTCAGGATAAATATGAGTGGCACCGCTTTTATGTTTTTGTTCAGGAGGAAATGAATGGCACAGCTTTTCTGTTTTTGTTCAGGAGGAAAATGAGTGGCACCGCTTTTATGTTTTTGCTCAGGAAGAAATAGAATGGCACCGCTGTTCTGTTTTTGTTCAGGAAATTGAATGGCACCGCTGTTCTGTTTTTGTTCAGGAAAATGAGTGGCACCGCTTTTCTGTTTTTGTTTAGGAAAATGAATGGTACCGATTTTCTGTTTTGTTCAGGAAAATGTATGGTACCACTTTTCTGTTTTTTGTTAAGGAAAATTATTGGCACCGCTCTCCTGTTTTTGTTCAGGAAAATAAGCGGCACAGCTTTTCTGTTTTTGCTCAGGAAGAAAATGAATGGTACCGCTTTTCTGTTTTTGTTCAGGAAAATGAGTGACACCGCATTTCTGTTTTTGTTTAGAAAAATGAATGGAACCGCTTTTCTGTTTTTGTTCAGGAAAATGTATGGTACCACTTTTCTGTTTTTTTTTCAGGAAAATTAGTGGCACCGCTTTTCTGTTTTTGTAAAGGAAAATTAGTGGCACCACTTTTCTGTTTTTTTTTTTTTTTTTTTTGTTCAGGATGAAAATGAATGGCACCGCTTTTCTGTTTTTGTTCAGGAAAATGAGCGGCACTGCTTTTCTGTTTTTGCTCAGGAAGAAAATGAATGGTACCGCTTTTCTGTTTTTGTTCAGGAAAATGAATGGCACCGCTTTTCTGTTTTTGTTCAGTAAAATGAGCGGCACTGCTTTTCTGTTTTTGTTCAGGAAAATGAATGGCACTGCTTTTCTGTTTTTGTTCAGGAAAGTGAATGGCACCGCTTTTCTGTTTTTGTTCAGGAAAATGAGCGGCACTGCTTTTCTGTTTTTGTTCAGTAAAATGAGCGGCACTGCTTTTCTGTTTTTGTTCAGGAAAATGAGCGGCACTGCTTTCTGTTTTTGTTCAGGAAAATGAGTGGCAACGCTTTTCTGTTTTTGTTCAGGATCAAAATGAATAGCACCGCTTTTCTGTTTTTGTTCAGGAGGAAAATGAACAGCACCGGTTTTCTGTTTTTGTCTGCGGCAGCAAACAGGGCCAGTTCCGGCTATGATGTAACAGTCCCCAAAAAATGTGTAAAGGTAAACGCGGGAAAAGGGGGCTGGGTTGAGCCTTCGACTAACGTCCCTACCCACACAGAAGGCTACATCTGGTTGATTTAGTCGTTACTAGTGCCGTAATTAAAACTTGGCTGGGAGCTCAACGGCGTGTTTGGGAACTCAACGGTGTGTTTGGGAACTCAACGGAGTGTTTGGGAACTCAACGGCGTGTTTGGGAACTCAACGGAGTGTTTGGGAACTCAACGGCGTGTTTGGGAACTCAACGGAGTGTTTGGGAACTCAACGGCGTGTTTGGGAACTCAACGGCGTGTTTGGAAACTCAACGGCGTGTTGGGGAACTCAACAGCGTGTTTGAAATTCAACGGAGTGTTTGGGAACTCAACGGAGTGTTTGGGAGCTTAACAGAGTGTTTGGGAACTTAACGGCGTGTTTGGGAGCTTAACGGCGTGTTTGGGAACTCAACGGAGTGTTTGGGAACTCAACAGCGTCTTTGGGAACTCAACGTCGTGTTTGGAAACTCAACGGCGTGTTTTGGGAACTTAACAGCGTGTTTGAAACTCAACGACGTGTTTGGCAACTCAACGGCGTGCTTGGGAACTCAACGGAGTGTTTGGGAACTCAACGGAGTGTTTGGGAGCTCAGCGGAGTGTTTGGGACTGAGATCTGTTTGTATCAGGGTGCCAAAGTCTCGGATAGCAACCGAAGATGGCAGAAGCATCAGTAGATTAAACACTTTGATTACAGTTCCGTATAAGTGCACATCACTACCAGTAATGTTTTCCCTTATTTCAGCATGATGCTTCAGTTACAAAGATGGATGTGTTCATGGAAGACTGTGGTGTACTTGTGTCTGTTGTTTGGTGTCGTCCTGGTGACTATGTCCGGGGTCAGGTACATGAACTGTAACGATTGCTACCTGTGGTGGAGTCCACAACCTTCCTCTCCCAGAGTGACACTAAACATTACCAATAACGAGGGGGCTGTAGGTGAGTAGACAAGTTTGAATTGGTGTAACTTAGGTGTGTAGTGAGTGAAACAATTACTCTTGGAGCTCAGTGTGGTACAGTTATACCTTTCACCTTCACAAAGTATATAAGACAATGTCTGTCTATGGTGTTGACAACATGGCCAGTGATCGATCAGCACATCAAATGCAGTTAAGTTTGTTTATTACAAAACGCAATGTGCATCTGACTCTGGCGACGATTATTCATTAACTGTAGAATGAATGTTTCAGTAAAAGTTGCTAAGTTATTGGTTTCACCACTTAACAGTTTATTCACTGTTATCGACTGTTTCTAAAGTCTCGTCTAACATACTCTAGAGATATCTCACTTCTAACCAAGCTTACCTTCCGTCTCGTCTTCTCGTAAACTACTCTGTTCACAATACCCAGTCCTTGGTTTGCGACTGCCCAGCTAAGTCGCCCTGTTCTGATTGTCCTGCTTCTCTCCTTGTTCTCCCCTTCTCGTTATTTCATTATCTCCTTTCTTCACAAAGCTTGGTCCATCTGTCACCCCCTCTGACTTTTATCTTCTTGCCTGTATATCTCTATCTTCCCCCTGTTCCCGCTGGTCCCGTCTTATCTCAAGCCTGGCGTAACCTGTACCCTTGATTCATGGACATGGACCCTATGTGACGGCAAGATAATTGTCCTGTATCTGGTGTGGCGTTGTTCAACCAGCGTTCTAATCTAGGTTGCTGGTGATGGACGCGCTGATGGTGTCTCAGTGCCCCAGTGGATATCTTCTTTAGTGATACTCCGCATCTTCCTCACTCTACTTTCCTACATCAATGCGTCAGTTTATCTTTGTGAAAGAATAAACATCGAACATTAGGTAATCAGTGTCCCGTGGGAAACTTTCTTCTTCTTCTTCTTCTTCTTCTTCTTCTTCTTCTTCTTCTTCTTCTTCTTCTTTCTTCTTCTTCCTCTTCTTCTTCTTCTACTACTACTACTACTGCTGCTGCAGCTGGTGCTGCTGCTTCTGCTGCTGCTGCTGCTTCTTCTTTGTTCACCGACTAAGCTTCGGCGGAAGGTCCTGCGTGTTCGTCTTGATGGACTTTGAGCTGGGACCTGAGTTTTAGGTTTTAATGGTTTCTGTGTCTTCAGTTGCTTGTTCGTTGCGGCTCGCGCAGATGCACTCCGAGTTCGAAGAAAGCTCTAAATTAGTCGACTTTACGACATGTTTCTTTTTTTTTTCTGGGGAGGGGATTTGGGAGGCAGTGGGTTTATTATTGTATTACAACGGGGCTCTGGAGCCTACAGGGGGAGTGTCGAACAGGGGGAGTGTCGTACAGGGGGAGTGTCGTACAGGGGGAGTGTCGTACAGGGGGAGTGTCGTACAGGGGGAGTGTCGTAAAGGGGGGTATCGTACAGGGGGAGTATCGTACAGGGGGAGTGTCGTACAGGGGGAGTGTCGTACAGGGGGAGTGTCGTCGTACAGGGGGGAGTGTCGTACAGGGGGAGTGTCGTACAGGGGGAGTGTCGTACAGGGGGAGTTAGTTAGGAGTGGGTCATTGCACTCCGGACATGGGGGAGTATGAACCCCAACGTCCGTGGCTAAAGTACCAGTTCTATGTTGATTAACAAGTCTTCTGACGTACAGTGTGGTCTCGTTTTTCGCTGTCGATCTTAATTCCCAAGTCTGCCACAGTGATGGGATTCCCTGCCACCAAAGTCCTCTATCCTTCCCATTTCTCTAAGGGCATTGATAATATCAGCGCCGACCGTCGGTAGTGTGATCCAGAGGTGCATTTCCATCGCGTGGTGTCCAAGAACAAAAATACAGGGGAGTATAGCCAAGTTGGAAAATCCAAGCGCCGTACGAAAATCCGTACGACAAACAACCGTAGTTCTTATGTCGTGTGAATGACCAGTGTTTGAATATGTCGCAAGCGATGGAAGTGTAAATAATCGTTGGAGCATGTCGAATAAATGCAACAGAATCAACTGACAGCAAGTACAAGGAAGCTGAGCGGCGTTTGTGTTATCATTCCTAGACGTTAGAGCAGTGCTTGTAGACATGTTGCAGTAATCCAATAAAGCTGAACTTTGGCTTACAACGTATCTGCTTCGCCGCGAGTCAGCTTTGTATGATTATCCAATATGACTATTAAATTAAACATTGTAGTCATAATGGCAAATGTAAATTTAGCCCGTGTATTTGTCACAGTTTGGAAGGAGTTAACACTTCCTTTATAACAACCACACGAAATACAGAAAATGTTTGTTGATTTATTGTATAGATTCTTTGGTCTCAACTGAGCATCTGAGACGCCACACACTAAACACCAGTGGTGACAACAACAGTCCTGGAATCCCATGTTTTAATTGTGGAAGACTTTCCTTAACGCAGGCAGATCTTGCTACTTACACTCATGCTGTGAGACCCATACCTCCTCGTCGCGCAGAATGACACTATCGTCTGAAAAGACAGAAAGACGCTAACAACTTAACGATCGGTCGTTTGTCATTGAACAGGTCAGCAGTCATTGCCTTTGATCAAAACAAGGCAGGGCAATCTGCGCCGAGTGCACGACTAAAGATAATGAATAATTCAAGTAATCAATACGTTCATTGAGGCATTGTCGTTAGATGAGAGCAGCAACATTGGATTTCAGGTAGTGACTGGTTTTTTTAAGTCGAACGGTAGCTGTGTGGCTGTTAAACTGTCTGGAAATATTAGTAAGCAAAACAGGAGTCAGCGGATAGACGCTCGGGTACGTATTAGAAGATCGTGGGTTCGGATCCTGGTGAAGCCTGACTGTTTTCACAAAGTACGTTGGCTCCCAGGTCAACTGAGCCTTAATTAATTGGGTACTTGAATGGGTACCAGGTAAAGTCATGGGAAGCAAAGGGGGTCTCCGTGATGCTGACCACATCACTCAGAGAGTGCTGATTGGTTTATAGAACATACGTCTATCGTTATATGCGCAATACGCTTGGAAGCGTAGAAAATGGTACTTTTATTTGCGTAAAAGTTATGCTGAAACCCCAGGAGACACTACAAACACAATCTCATATCTGTATTGATCTAGAGAAAGACTGCACAGGAGGCCAGAAGAAATCAAAACATAAATATGGTTAAAACAACAATTGACGTAGAGCTATGCTAAACTACATACCGGGACAACATATCAAACGGTTAGGCTACACGAAGTGCAGTGTGGTACGATTCCATACATTACATAAATAGGGTTTCACGATCATTGTAGCTATCGAGTGTATCTATGTGCTTTTCAGTCCCTTGTCTCTTAACCTATCTGCAATCATGTTCTACTCTATCCATATTTCCTTTCCAATTTTCCCTCACTACGGCCCATGAAACCACCTCATTACTGGTATCTTTCAAGTCCCACTTTCACACATCTTTATATCGTTGTACAGGGAGACCTTTATCTCTCCTACAAACCTCAAATTCACCATTAAACATCTCTTTTTCGATCTGCTACTCTCCATTCTTCAAGTATGACCCAGCCACGTGAGCATTCGACGTCCCTGCATTGAGAAAACTGTCGTCATACCTGTTATTTACAATATCTAATTTTCTGATCCTGTCTTGCCACTAATTGTCAAATGGTCTTTGTAAGATGTCGCATATAAAAGCTGTTTGGACTTCTCTTTGTGTGAATAAGTCTACAGTTTTCTACAGCAGAGAAAAGTGATGACAACAAAAGCCTGATGTACAAGGGTTTATATTTAGCAGTGAGCTTTCCGTTCTCCACAATTGTATGTCATGTATTTGCTCGTCGTTGTTGCTGCATTAGCTATCCTGATGTTTAGTTCCTTATCCAGCGATAGTCTGTCATCGATTGCGAATCAAATGTATGTTAGTTAGGTGTGTTCATTAATATTAAGATTATCTCACTGCACATCGGAAAGGCCATATTCGCTCGGATTCAATCTTCAGTATATCCCCCAGCGTGTAGCGAATGATGACACAAGTTCTGTATTGGTTTACCATTCTTCTGTGGCTACCTGTATAGTGTTCATGTTTGACGACACCTCTTGTGACCTGAAGTTTTTATAGTCTGTTGAATGTTGCCGATTCAACGTTATCTCCTGAATCATCTTCCCGTTCTACCTCCTTGAGAGCAATGAGAATGTCGGCCCGGCCCATTGCACTTCAAGTACCCACCGTGGCCCTGCCTCAAGTCAGTCCGCTCGTTCATTCCCTCTCGCCCCAGAGTCCTGGCACAAAAATGAACCTAATTTCTTTCATAAGAGATTTCATCGGCGACTCCAAACCGAATTCTTCGACTCCATCCTGTCTCTATCTTCTTAAGCATGCCCACGGAATTACTTTTTATTTTATTTATTTATTTATATATTTAGTTTTTAAATATCCAGAAGCCATGAGTTGTAAGCCCTTTGGCTTGGCACTATGGATATCTCAACGCTTCGGCCTTGACTCCATGAAAGATACCGTAAATCTGGCATTGGAAAAATGATGTGTCTCTAGCCACATCCTTGCTTATGTTACCGCCATCACCTCCGTATAGTCAGACTGCTTGTAGTCGAGACAAAATTCCAGCTATTTCTTTTACAGTTTTTCCTTAAACCAGAACCGTGATAGCTCGTGAACTAAGGCCATATTTGAAAAGAGTATAGTCCAACGAACGCTTCGTAATCCCGGGATGCCATGTTCGATCCCAGATGCGGGCCATGCGTCTTGCGTTTGTTTCGACAGTGGTATCAGTTGGTTCTGCAACGTCCTGTAAAGGATACGCAACTAACCTAAAGTCCAACGATGGTAGAATGACTCTGCCAAGTACCCTTCCAACAGTACACACAAATGATATTTCCCTGCAGTTGTTGCACTCATTTCGATCGCCATTGCTCGTGTACATGGGTTTAATTCTGGTGTCTTGTGGGACCTATCCTTCATGTCAGCATGCTGTTAATACTGGTAGATGTGTGTGGGGTGGGTATGTTTCTCCGCTGTAGATGTGTGTGGGGTGGGTATGTTTCTCCGCTGTAGATGTATGTGGGGTGGGTATGTTTCTCCGCTGTAGATGTGTGTGGGGTGGGTATGTTTCTCCGCTGTAGATGTGTGTGGGGTGGGTATGTTTCTCCGCTGTAGATGTGTGTGGGGTGGGTATGTTTCTCCGCTGTAGATGTGTGTTGTTTGTATGTTTCTCCGCTCCTTCATGTGTGTGGGGTGGGTATGTTTCTCCGCTGTAGATGTGTGTGGGGTGGGTATGTTTCTCCGCTTTAGATGCCCTCTGTAGGAATACTATCTTTGTCTTAAACCTTTCTGAGAAAAAAAATACAATCTAGAATACAATATGGAAATAAAGTATACTATGCCCTTCAACATTTGCGAAAGTCAAAGTGTCTGTCTCGCAACACCAAGATCAAAATATATAAAACGTTGATAAGACCAGTCGTTTTAAATGGCTCTAAAACTCAAAGCGCAACTAACAGAGATGAAGTCCTTATTACATGTTTTCGAAAACAGAATCTTACAACGAATCTTTTCACCTTATATAATCAACGATTTAAACAGCGGGGAATAAAGAGTGAGAAGCAACAACGAAATGCATGATCTGTTAAAATCACCATTAATCTCTGGCATCATGAGAGCTCATAGACTGAAATGGCTGGGGCATATTGAGAGAATGTCAGATGACAGAGAGGTAAAAAAATTGTATACACAAGAGAGATCAATGGTCGTAGCCCACGAAGCTGATAGAAAAGAAAAAAAAATTGGAGAGATAATGTCCAGAGAGACCTACAGACACTTGGTGTTACCTATTGGAAAGAGAGGGCCACCAAAGAGATGAGTGGAGGCGGGTGATATGTGCAGCAATTAAACGCAAAGGTTTGGAATGCTGAAGAAGAAGAAGAATGAAAGTGAGACAGGGTTGTATACTATCCCCTGTTCTGTTCAGTTTGTATTCGGAAGAGAAGCACTAGAATACTTGAAACTATATCCATAGGGGCGTAGGTGAAAGACATATTGAACTCCGAGAATTTATTACAAAATTAGAGATTGTCCTTGGTAAATATGGCATGGAAATTAATGCCGAGAAAAGCGAGATTCTGGTAAATAGTCACAAATAATCAAGTACCTACCAACATACAGAAAAAAATGGAGAAAACTAGAAGAATTCGAAACCTTGGCTCCCACAAATGTAACGACGGCAGCTGTACTAAAGAGATCAAGACAAGACTTGATATGACAATAGCCGCGATGTCGCAGTTGAATACGGTGTTGAAAAGCAAAATCAGCATCGCAGTTAAAAGATCAAAATTTACAAATCATTCAATAAGGGGTGAGAGTTGGGCTCTTACTGTGGAAATAGAGAGGAGGATTTAGGCTTTCAAATGTACATGCTATAGACGCATTTTACGAATTAGTTATTTAGAACACAGAACTTAATAAATTTGTCAGCGACAAAATATACAATTTGCAGGACATCAGAAGCCTCCTGAAACGTCGCAAGCTAGCTTGGTTTACAAAACATGGGGAGACATGATTTGACTGCAAAGCCTGTGCTTCACGGAACATTGAGGGGCGAATGGAAGGGGGGGGGGGGGGGAGCTCTAGTCGAAAAAGAGGAGGGTATATACAAATCTGGAATAACAACATTGAGAAACAGGACTAAGTTATCATAGACTTATTCATGCAGACAGAGAAAGGGAGTATTTGATGTGTTAGTGCTTCTATCGACAGACCTCCACGAGCGGGTCAAAGGTTATGGTATGCTATTTTATCTGCTACTGTTGCTATACATTGATAGTTTCTTTATAAGCGCATTCAAATTGTCGGTGGGGTGGAGGTGTGGGGTGTGTGTGTGGATCGATTTATGCATGAATAACTTACAAACTTGGATTATTTCAAAGGACCGTATAGTCGGGTTTAAAGCAAGGCTCATATATGCTTTTATGCTCATATCCGTTCGGGTTTGACTGCATCAGTGTGTACACTAGTAACACAAATAAGCTAACATGTAGGCTTATCCTGTTCCGTGTGTCTCCTATGTCTAGAGTCCAGGCCTTTTGCCGTATCTTGAATTACAATTAAATTCCTAATCTTTACTTACGATTCAAACACTGAGCAAAGGTAAACTCGAACAGTTTAGGATCAGATTTCGTCTGGTTTTACTGAAAGCAGACTATTGTCGACCAAAGCAACCAGAGGGTTTAATTTAAGAGGTTATTTCTCTGAGGGATTTCAACCTGTTACTGTCCTGGCGTTTGATTGACACAGCTGGCTCCAATCGTCTGGCTCTCTGATGCCACATGCTGGCTTGGTCGAGTTTATCCTAACCTTGCTGTTATGATAGATGAAAAATGTTACATTTGATGAAACATGTTACAATATATGAAAATGTTAAAACTAGATGAAAGTTTTTGCGATAAATGAAACATGTTACAATAGATCAAACAGTTCTTACAATAATTAAAACAGATGCTACAAAAATGAAACAGTTTTTACAATAGATAAAACAGTTGTTACAGTAATGAAACTGTTGTTATAGTAGATAAAACTGGTGTTGCAATAGATGAAACAGTTGGTATAATAATGAAACTGTTGTCACAATTATTACTAGTATGTTTAAGTGTGTATGCATATATGCATGACAATAGTATTTTATTTATAAATTTATGCTGGAATATAAGGCTAATGGAATATGAGAGAAATGTGATAACTTGTGTACACCATTAACACATGTGTGTCAGCATGTAGAGAGTCGGTAGTCCAGAACCCAAGTTTTAGGTATCCCCTTCGTGCCAAAGAACTGCATGGTTGAGGGGTGCACAATCGTTAACGTAGGCAGTCTGACGTAAAGGGGCGACACCTTGCTGATGGGCGTTACGCCCCTGGCCCCTTCCCCAGCACTAGAGCACCACTGGGGTGACCGTTAATAAACCCTCACCACTTCCGGTCAAAATGGACGATAGGCACGGTCACTGCTGTGAGCAGTGGCACATTTTTTCAGCTTCTGCTAGACACTGGCCGGTTCATTTTGGCTCGATTTGTAGATTAAAAAGATAGTTTCCTCGCCCAGCTTCTGAGTTGAGTGCATGGCGGGACACTGTGAGCAACTGATTTAATTTGGAAATATTTTCTACAGTAACCAACATTGTAGTGTGAATTGTAGATTCAGAAAATGGCGCGATGCTTGTTGTCGCAATATTGGTGGTGCCATTATATGATTAAAATTGATCGCGTGTGCAACTGCTGATCTGTTGGTGACTTCTGCTACCATGATAAACTGCATTTCTAAAGTCGGACTGCTTGTGTTAGCACTTCGGATGGCTACCGTTTGCTTTAATGCGTGTGTATGCAAGATATGCTAGACAGCAGTCTGTCCACCTTTCAACAAGGAACTGTAAAAAACATTCTGTGTGTTTTTCGTTGGCGCAGAAGCGGAGCAACACGTTTGCTATGAAGCTAAAACTAAGATTACGAGATTACCAGTTGTTACAGTAGATGAAACAGTTGTTACAATAATGACACAGTTGTTACTATAATGAAACAGTTGTTACTATAATGAAACAGTTGTTACTATAATAAAACAGTTGTTACTATAATGAAACAGTTGTTACTATAATGAAACAGTTGTTACTGTAATAAAACAGTTGTTACTATAATGAACCAGTTGTTGCTATAATGAAACATTTGTTACTATAATGAAACAGTTCTTGCTATAATGAAAAAGTTGTTACTATAATTAAACAGTTGTTACTATAGACAAAGTGACTTTGCAGTGTGAAGTGTGCTATGAATGTGTTTATCTGTATGTGTACCTGTTGCAGCCTACCTGGAGAAATACAAATCTTTATTCAAGTCACCTGCGGAGCAGCTGGCCCTAGAGCCAGATCCCAACAAACCAAAGACAATCACCACCTGGTGGCAAGCGGCAGCCATGATAGACTGGTGGGTGCCCATTTTTTTTCTCATCTTCACGACCATCTTCATCAACAACATGATTATTATCGTCGTCGTTGGCGTCATTGTCTTCAAGAACTACACCAGCATCATTTTGGTTACACCTGTGTCACATTTTTAACTTGCATTGTCGGCTACATGATTATTTTCACAGGCAGTTTTATCATCATTATCCTCGTCCTTGAAAGAATATTCATCATTGCTTTCTTCGTCATCGTCATTATTCTGACGATCATCACCCCCATACATCGTCATTATCCTTATCGTCGTCCTCGTCATCACCACCATCAACATCGTCACTACAACTGCCGTTCTAATAATCATTATTACCATCGCCACTATCATCCTTAGAAGAATAGTCGCTGTCATAAACATACCTACAGTATGTGTGTCTGCGTCATAGATAGATAAAACGAACAAACGAAAGATTATAATTTTTAAATGGTCACAAAAAAAAGGCACGAAGGCCTGTCTTACATTCGGCCCTTCCAAAACTCCCATCTTTGAAACAGCAGTTGTATTTTATCAATTAAACATGTTATGTTCATTTAATAATATGGATATTAGGAATATCAAGTCAAAATCTAAAGCATGGATGGTAAAATGCATGCACACATTAGCGCACACACACACAAAGACCTACATACATACATACATACATACATACACACACACACACACACACACACACACACGCACGCACGCACGCACTGACGCACGCACGCACGCACACACACACACACACATACATACATACATACATACATACATACATACATACATACATACATACATACATACATACATACATACATACATACATACATACATACATACATACATACATACATACATACATACATACATACATACATACATACATACATACATACAACACACATATATACACACATACACACACACTCCACACACGTACATACATACGTACACATATATATATACATGCACACACATATATACACATGCACACCCAGAAAAACCCACAGAAACAAACGCAGACACGCGCGCGCGCACTCACACACATGTACGCAGATACACAAAGACACACATAGATACATACACATACACACAAAGAGACACACACACATGCCTGCGCAAACACAGGCACACACATTCACACAGACACACACACACACACACGCAGACACATACACACAGACACACATGTACAAACACACACAGATGTTGACACACACACAAACAAATACACACAGAAACACACAAACACACATAACCCAGATTCACACGCAGACGCACACACATAGATACACACACTCAGACCATCAAACACACATACACGCACAAATACACACACATGCAGATACACACACGCAGACATACCCGCAGATAATCATATAGACACACATACACAGATATACACACATATAGACTCACACAAGCACACACATGCGCAGGCACACATACACACAAGCACACATACAGATACACACAAAAACACATAGACACATGCAGAAACACACAAACAGACAGACACGCAGACACACACCGAGATACACATGCAGACACACCCAGAGACACACCCACACGGAGACACATACAGACGCACACAGACATACACACAGACACACACACACACAGACACACACAAGCATATATATATATATATATATATATATATATATATATATATATATGCAGAAACACACATAGACACACACAGACACTCACGCAGACACACACCCAGACAGACAGATATACACAGACACACATACAAACACAACAAAGACACAAACACACACGCACGCACACACAGATCGATAGACAAACAGTCAGACATACATACAAAGACACTCATACATAGACAGACAGACAACGGATGGATGCACAGACAGAAGGATGGACAGACAGACGGACGGAGGACAGGACAGACAGATTGACAGACAGGCAGACGGATGGACAGACAAACAGACGGATGGACAGACAAACAGACAGACCGACCGGCTGACAGACAGACAGACACACAGACGGATGGACAGACAGACAGACAGGTGGATGGATGGAGGGAGAGGAGATGGACAGACAAACGAGGAGAGTCTTCATTAACCACACTGTGAGCTGGGTTGCTGTAGGTATAAACATGATCGATATCACTGAATGGGCCTGGTGAAATCATAAAACATGCCTTTAATATCCAACACCCGGGCATGTCTGATGAAATCTGGGGCCACAGGCGCAAATGTCGCAGCCATGCTCTCAACGCGCACAACACAGCTTCCTCCTAGTATAAACGAAGAAGAAGAAGAAGAGAAGAAGAAGAAGAAGAAGAAGAGAAGAAGAAGAAGAAGAAGAAGAAGAAGAAGAAGAAGAAGAAGAAGAAGAAGAAGAAGAGCAGGAATAAGAAAAAGAAGAAGAATAGGAAAAAGAAGAATAAAAAGAAGAAAAACAAGAAGAAGAAGAATATCTAAGACATAAAAGTGAAATAGTAATGGAACCAATATCCACTACATATCTGCTGTCGTGTGTAGGGAGTCCTTATCTTAAGCAAACAAACAAAAACTACACAAACAACCTCAGTCCTACACCAGGCGATGCCTTGTCACAAACCTAGGCATCCAATGATAATGCTATTATTTATAGGAGTGACTCTGATTTTCTACAATAATTTAATGCCTAGGTTTTTGCAGTAAAAAGAAAACGGTCCGAGTGTATACTGTTAGAGGTCAGCCACACGCCCTTACCTGCAGTTTATCGCTGGGAGTGATGAAGGTGATGAAGGTCCTATTATGTCCACAGATTTAGACATTCACAGCTGCTGAGTGACTTCAATAATATGATAAAGAAAATCAAAGCCAGAACTATGGTAAAGTCTTCTTGGAATAGAACCATTTTTGTCTTAGCTGGTTGAGTATTTCTAATTTGAATCGCTCGAAGATCGAGGTTTCAACAGCAGAGCAGACCAAACACCCTGTAATTGATTCGTTCTTGTGTTGGTTGATATCAGACAAAATCTTCTTTATTGTCACATTTGAAAAGTAGTGAACACGTTGTCAGTCCCAACAAAATCTTGAAGTTTCCACACTTATAGACACATGCATAAAGTAGCTGCATGTAATCGGCTATCAACGTGTTAGCGGAGTGAATAACATACTGCGGGCAGAAACACACACACACACGCTCGCGCGCAGAAATACACCCACGCACACAAACACACACAAACACCATACCATCACTCCCACACTCACACACACACACAAACGAAACTCAAACGAGCACACCACACATAATCTGTCTCATAATAACACTTTCGTAGGCACGCGCGCGCGTGCACACACACACACGCACACGCACACACAACTACTCACCCACACACACACCCACACACACCCACCCACACACACATCCACGGCTCATTGTTGTATCTAGCACTCAACTGAAGCTTCAGACTCTAGGTCCACAAATGGAGAAGTTACATTAGCAGAATCTAAGTGCAAACAAATATTTCCAGAGCGTTAGTGCTTCTACGGCTATGAGCCATTTTTGGGGGCAGGAATTCCATTTCCTTGTTAGTTCTGCACATCCCTGACTGCGTTTCTTGGTGTGTCTGACGCGTAATGCCCAACTGTTCGTAGGACCTCAAGGATTGGGCTTTTTAACTGTTTACTTAGGGGCCACAATTTTTAAAACATTGATTGTCACAGTCTAGAGGTTAAAGCAATATAACTGGTGATGATCGTTGGCTGGCTAAACTGTTAAGAACCCCAAATTCTCATGCAGGATACCCAGGTTCGAATCATCCGCAAGGCGGGGGATTTTATTCTGCCGGGGGAAATGCTAACCTGCACAGTCCGTGGCGAAAGCACTAGCCATGCGACTGTAAATACTCAGACTCAAAGACCTCCTGCCGACATCGCAAAAGTGGTAAATACTTGTAGTTATTGGCAGTTTGTTGACATTGATCAGCGGGCCACTTGCTGGGTCTATGTGGGCCAGATGCAGCGCTCGGTCCGTCAGTTGAATAGCCCTGAGGTAAGAATATCAATGAAATCTCACTAGGTAATCAATGAGGTCTTGGGAGAATTCCTTTCAGAAATAACGAACCAGTTATATTGGGACCACTAACTGCTTTTAACGTCATCCTGTAACAGCCTCTGCAGAACGTCGCTCTCATCACGGCCTGTCTGAAACAGACCCGGTCTCTTGTTAGCTGTCCCACTTCATGCACTTTTATACCCATGGAATCACTTATATTTTGTGCCCATATTCGTACTTGTTGACCCCTTGTCTCCGCACCGTGCCTTCTGTTATTTGTTCCAATCGACCGTGGCGATTGATATGTCAAAACATATTCAGCCTCCAGTGCCGTCACAGATTGGTAATAGCAGACAGAGAAGGGACTGCGAGGTTGGCTGAGTCGTTGTGTGATGCTTCGGTATGTTTTCTCTCGGTAGATGTTCGAGTCTCTGTCTCATCATTATCATGCGCCTTATTGGATGACTTCAGCTTTTGTGGCTCTCAATAAATCTTGGGCGTCCGTGTATTCTCGATTAGTTATACTGACAGCGCACGCGCCAGTGAGGCCAGATATGGTGATATGCTTGGGACCAGCATCCAGTGAATCGATATCTACATTGATGAAATATTAAAAGCCAGAATAATATTTGAGGCTCCAAGGCCATTAGCAGATTTGTTGATGTAGGTCTCCGTGTTCGTTCCGAAGCCATTTGTTTTATTAAAATAGGAGTGGGGTTATAGACCCACTGCCCCGCCCCACACCACCCCCGCAACGGGCATGTGGCGAAAAGCGACCAATTAGGGCTGTTCTGTTAAAGTCAAAATGCACTTACTTAACAGGTGAGGAATCAAATGGTTGTCTTATAAATTAGCCAGGCTGAAACCCAAATCTCAAGTGTTGTGTGTTGTGTCTGTACAACTCATGTATGAGCTAACCGATGTATGTGGAGTTAAAACCTGTTTTTCACTTTTTAGACCAACTGTGACCCGGCCAT